CGTGCTTTCAGCACAGCTATGCTGATAACCTGGTAACCCGCTTTTAGTTAGCTTTAGCTCATCAATAATGGTAGTTTTTACCCATTGGTGGATCCCCATTGAACCCGGTACCTCTGCACTGTGAGGTCGACGCGCTAACCACTGGCCCACCGGGCCGCCCGTCGTGAGTGTAATGCATTAAAAATATTTTTGCCAACCACCAAAAGGAAGGAAGAAGAAGTCGGAAGTAGTCAGGGCCATGAAAATGTGACATAACAATAGTTTAGCATGTAGCATCTGCCAGAATGGGGATTTACCATTTACAGCACCAAGAGGCGCAATAACCGACCAAGATTCTCCCTTAACGGGACATGGTGGCTATTTGAGATGTGTCTGCTTGAGTCAAACAAACAACACAACGGCGAGGAGGATTTCCTGTCAATTATCAGGTGAAAATCCTCATCATCACTCAGAACATTTGCCCTGAGGGTGGGCTTGGCAATCAAATGAAGCTCCCCTCCTAAGATGAGCCACAGCAGCCATCCTGCACCTAAACACACACACACACGCGCGCACACACACACATGGAGCACTGATTTTTAAAAGCATGCTTCACCTGTTTGCGGTCCAAAAGTTGGAGGGAGGAATGACTCTAATTCAAATCGACTTTGCAGAATGCAATTTTCATATCGCAAAGGCTGCAATTTGGAAAATAATAATAAAAACAACAACTTCTGCTTCAGCGGCCCGGTGGGCCAGCGGTTAGCGCGTCGACCTCACAGTGCAGAGGTACCGGGTTCTCTTTTCTTTGTGAATGTCTTCAGCTGTTGTTTGTCAATGCTTTTAGGTATTTTGCTTTTGGTTGTGCCAAGCACATTGAGCTAACTTGTGCATGAAATATTGCTGTATAAATAAGGTTTCGTTGCCTTGCCCTTATGTATCATAAATCTGAGATTGTTTCTAGTAAAACATGAATTTATTGCTTGAATTTGTTGGAAAAAAAAATCAATGGGAAGAAGATCTTGAAAAAAAAATACCGGTATTGAGGGGGGAAAAAATTGCAGTTGGATGAATTTTCAAAATCGTTCAGCTGTACGATGGAATCAGAGACACAAAATAACAAAAGGTCAGTTTTGGGTGATCCATCGAAAAAGAATCACATGAATACAGCACATTTAGTTTCCACTCAGGGTTTATAGAACCTTCATCTTTATCCTCCATGCACATAAAGTGGCTTCTCTTACATTATCATGAGGAAGCCTTGTTCCCCTCATGCCATATAAAGACGTATAAAAGTCAAATGTTTAGGAGAAGACGAATCAGCGAGTAGACCCTCGCAAGACGTCCAGGCGACCTCACACGCCTCCTCCCACCCCCAAAAAAAGTATTGGATGTCTCAAGGAATCTGCAGTTCCCCCCCACCCCCCTGCTACTTCTAAGTACATATTTGTGAGGGCACAGGGAGGCAGAGCCTGCACTCCAGCTCCACGTTCACTGAGGCACACACGGCCCCAGCTCCTGCTCTCGCCTCCTGCTAACTTTTCCACTTTTTCCTTTGACGGAGCCTTTCCCACTTGGCAATAAGCAGCCATGGACGCCATCAAGAAGAAGATGCAGATGCTCAAGCTCGACAAGGAGAACGCCTTGGACAGAGCTGAGCAGGCCGAGTCAGACAAGAAGGCAGCGGAGGACAGAAGCAAGCAGGTTGGCCCACGTTTAATTCTTCATCACAGATGGATGGATAGATAGATAGATAGATAGATAGATAGATAGATAGATAGATAGATAGATAGATAGATAGATAGATAGATAGATAGATAGATGCATGCATGCTGTAGACAGATGCTGTTGATAGATATGCATGAATATGTTGCTGTCCATGTTTAACTGGCTTGTCTTTGATACACATGTGTAGTTAGAGGATGAAATAAGAGAGTTGGAAAAGAAAATGCGTGTTACTGAGGACGAGCGAGATAAAGTGTTTGAGGAGTTCCAAACCGCTGAGGAGAAGCTGCTGAGCGCCGAGGAGGTCGCCACCAAGGTATCCACTCCTCACCTGCGCTGACTTCCTTAACCTTGCTCTCTTCCTTTCTCCTGTCCTGTCCTCTCCTGTTTCTCTGTGCGTCTTTTGTAAATGTGTTTATGTGTGCCACTCCCTGGTCACCACTCCTCCCCTCCCACAAAAAAAAAAAAAAAAAAAAAAAATCTGAAACGGTCCGAAGCTTGACGATGACTTGCTAGGTCTGCAGAAGAAGCTGAAGGGAACTGAGGATGAGCTGGACAAGTACTCTGAGGCTCTTAAAGATGCCCAGGAGAAACTTGAGCTGGCCGACAAGAAAGCTACAGATGTAAGTAAAGACGAGGGATCCAACAGGGCACCGTCACACGTCCCCTTCACGTTTTCAACTTTCTCTTATCACTGCACCTTCATTGTCATTTTACTCTCCTGTTGGGATGTGGAAGTCTTCTACAGCCCAAACATGTACGTCGATGTTCATACACTCTCAAATGTCTTAAAAAATATTGAGTATGCACTAATGTAGATGAACACCTTATGTCGGACAGTATATATTCTCCATGCAGGTTTCCCATATTTCCTTTTTTCTTTCATAATATGTGAATATCTGTTGTGTGCTTTAGCATTAGTTAGTGTTGAGTAAAGGTCCACATAATGGCAAAACAAAATGTAACTTCACAAGAGTAACTTTGAGTTAAAAGGAACCAAATTCCTATTTTGGACTTTCAGCTGAAAAAAAATTGGGAAGCCCTGCTCTATATTTTGCTACATGCTCATTCATTTGCAAGCCAGCCCAAAGAAAGTCACACTTCAGTGTATGCGACATCCACACCACATCTATTTTCAATATGGACACATGATAGCAGTCGTATTACATTTTGCACACTAATCCTCGTCGTTTTATATGTCACTGCCTGCTGAGGGATTTTTTTTTTTCCGAAGTGAAAATCAAGTCACTCTTCCCACGAGTGCAGGGAGCCAGTAGAGTGGATATATATAGCCAACTTCTTTATATGGTCAACATTGAGCTGCAGGCTGCTTGCTTCGAAAAGGAGGGGAAACACAGTTCCTCACAATGTGCCAGCAGCACAATTTGGCCAAATATAGCTGGAGGTTGAAAAGATGGCAATCTAAAGAAATCGCATCTTTGTGGATATTCAGTATACATTGTATGTGGTGATTGTTGTACAAACACCGCATTGCAGCCATGTACTTCGAGGCAGTTGATTTGTGTGTTTTTTTTGTACATACAAGGACAAAAACTTGTCAATAATCACATTGCAGCCATGTACTTCGAGGCAGTTGATTTGAGTTTTTTGTACATACAAGGACAAAAACTTGTCAATAATCATTTTGATACGGTGAGGGCGAGCGACTGGCCGGCCCGTAGTAGTGAAAATCCATATATATTTAATTTTAAAAAATAATAATGAATGGATAAATCACGAATAAAAATTTTCCACAAAAAAATGGAGGTTGGCTCCAAAACAAAAAAACTATTTTTAAAAATATTTTGAAAAAAAAAATCTGCGAATAGGGTGCCAAACCGCAAATATGTGGAGTCCACTGTACTTAAAAAAAATGATACAATGTCTTGTCATATTTACCAGTTCACTACAATTGTATTTTTTTAGATCTCAATTTAATTTATTGTAATCTATAAATTCTGCCACACTGAGGAAAAAAAAAACGCATTTTTATTATATTTGTCTATTTACTGAAAAAAAGTAGTGTAACTTAAATATCTGTTTTGTTTTGTTTTTTTGTCCAGAGTGACAATTTTTAGAGATTATAATAAAAAGAGGAACATTAATAATAGGCTACTTCTTTTGGGTTGTCCTTATGATCAGTTTTTTTTTTTTGTAAATTATTTTGAGGCTCGTTCAGGACACCCATATGCCATCGTATTGTATTATTCACAGTTGACCAATAGAGGGCGGTAAAAGACAAGTAGTTCCTGTCGTCTTGAGTTAGATTTTTTGTTCATGAAGAGCGTGTACGTCATTCAAATCTCATTCTTGTCTTATCAATTTTAATTTCTCATTTGGTTGCTTTTATGGACCTTGTAACATTATCTTATCTAGTTGTTAATGTGTTTCAGAAATAGAACAATTTAGCCCTTTTTGCAGGATAATCAGCACTGTCTCGTGAGATGCGTGTCGTCACTACAATGACGCAACGTCATGTGGTAAATTTGCGAGAGGGACAGATTTGTTATTGATTAGTCGATATTGGCCCAATATCATAGTTCTTGGTATCTAATCAATAACACACGTGTATGTGTGTGTGTGTGTGTGTGTGTGTGTGTGTGTGTGTGTGTGTGTGTGTGTGTGTGTGTGTGTGAGAGAGAGAGAGTGGGGGAGAGAGAGTTAGAGAGCGAGAGGCTGAGACTGACACTCAAGTATCAATATCATGATACAGGTATTGATCAGTATCGATTCTACTAACGATATCGACACTTGGATCGATCCGACGCCTCAATTGCAGCTGGGCAGTCAGCCAGCCAGTTCTCGAGCTGGCGCTTTGCCTTGCCTTGAGAGAATCACGGAGAATGGCAGGATCGGTGGAGGCTGTCAAACGAAAGATTCGATCTTTGCAAGAGCAGGCGGGCTTCGCGGACGACAGAGCCGAAAGATTACATCGCGAGTTGCACGAGCAGCGCCAAGCCAAGGAGGAAGTAAGACATTAACTTGCATCCGTTCGTGAGCTTGTCGTCTATGTGGGTCGCTCGGCTCAGCTCCGCTGGGACTCTGCCATGCGGGATGCTGCTGCGAGTCTATCACGCAACTTCACCTGCTACTTTTTGAATTAGCTGCCCAACTCGTGTCCGTGAATGCCGATGAGGAAACGTCGCGCTTTCACCACTCGGCGTGCTTTCTGAATGTATGACTTGAGAATTTGCTGCAAGCAGGAAGCTCGTAGCATAAAACACACTACAGGTGACAGATGCCGTTTGACTTGCCCAAATATGGTCAACGCACAGCAACTGATTGATTTTTTTTTTCCACCTTGAATTTGAAGGAGAGCAAATCCCTTGGGCGGTCAAGGGGCTTAAACAGTCTGAGGCCAGGCCAAGCTCAGTCTAATATAGCTTTATCTCCTTTGTCAGTTGACTTGTTCCCAGCTTAGCTGCTTACTGTGTAGTAATGCGACTTCCTTGTTCTGCCAGCTACCAACTTGAGAATCCAACTCAAAGAAAGGAGGCCAAAACCAAACTGCCACATCAGTTCATGTGGCCTGCTAAACCAAATGTTTTCTTCTTTTGTGTGTGCGTGTGTGTGTGTGTGGGGGGGGGGGGGGGGGGGGGATATGCACCTAAAGTGTCAGTTTCTGTTGTTGAACCATTTTCTTGAACCACTTTAACAAGTATTTACATTCACCAAATCCCATTTGAACATAAAATGGACTATAGTTCTAGACTTAAATAAAATATTTTCTAAACACTTTATCATGACCCCTAAATTCAAGATCAATTTGTTGTTAAGATGTACTGTAGTAATGTTCTTTGTTTTGTGGAAAATGTTTAAAAATCTGTGAAATAGCATATCGTAACGTGACTTTTGTAGTTATCCTCAAAAGAACTGCTCACCTACACTCGACTTTTACAGTGAACCATTTTTTGGCCCTTGAGAATGTAGAAAAGTAAACCTGGACATCAGCCTTAAGTGTTAAGTCTTATGTGCTGCGAGAGATGTATGGTATGCATCGCGAAATGATGACTTAATTAGTCCAAACATGTATGTTCCTTTAATACAGTGCAGTGATTTATCTTTGCACATCTGTCTATGCCAACAATATATTGTGACAACAATGTAATATTCCTGTACTAGATGGCAGAAGATTAACCTGTGTAGCCACCTACTGCCATTCATACAACAGAATAGCAGCTTTGTGTTTAACAGGCCCAAATTTCATACTGATGAAGATACAGAACGTGCAAAAAATAATAATAATAATTACACTAGAAATTTGAACTTCAATAGAGTATACAGTATTGGTGTACATTGTGAGCTGGACATCTTGGATGAGTGCAAGCAGCATGTCAAAAAAGCAGAACAAGTAAGCTCTCGAAGGAAGCCTTCCCCCATCGGGTTGCACAAACAACTGACCAGCTAGAAACTGCTTGAATAAGCAATCGTTCTTATCGTACTTTGAGCTGACATGTAAATCTTGCGTGGAATGTACCGGTAATGTTAAAAAAAAACAAAAAACTGACTTATGTCTTCTGTTCTTAGGCTGAGAGCGATGTGGCCTCCCTCAACAGACGCATCCAGCTGGTTGAGGAGGAGTTGGACCGTGCTCAGGAGCGTCTGGCCACTGCTCTGACCAAGCTGGAGGAGGCCGAGAAGGCCGCTGATGAGAGCGAGAGGTGCGTTCACGTCCAGGTTCCGCCGCCCGGCATCTCCTTACCCGCTCTATCCGTGTCCCTCACAGAGGCATGAAGGTCGTTGAGAACAGGGCCATGAAGGATGAGGAGAAGATGGAGATTCAGGAGATCCAGCTCAAGGAGGCCAAGCACATTGCTGAGGAGGCTGACCGCAAATACGAGGAGGCGAGTTTTTTTTTTTCAAACCTTTCCAAAAATAAATGCCAAATCAGAATGCAATGATGAGAAGTGAAGCGTCATTTTGAAGCCAGTTTCGTTTTAAAGCCGACTTGTAAATGTGTATTTTCGACCATGCGCGGTACTGTTGCTTTTGTAACACTTTACTGTGCTGCACCTACAGGTGGCTCGTAAGCTGGTCATCATTGAGAGTGACCTGGAGCGTACAGAGGAGCGCGCCGAGCTGTCAGAAAGGTAACGTTCACAAAATTCAAAACATGTCAATCATCCTCACCAGGCACCGCCCTAGTAGCTGTTCGCCTTATATGCCCAAAATAAAGTATAGTTGTGTAAATACACACCCGGGCTGTTGGAACATGACGCCTTGTGTTCTTACTGTATGTGCCGATCATTTGCATTTGCTCCCTCCGGCTTGAATGGCTGCTGCTTGCAAACGATCGCCACTCAGTCACCGGCGAAGGCTGGACGATGAGCTAAGAGTTGCGGAGCAAAGCATGAAATCATTAAACTCCTCACTCAGACAGGTACTATGAGCCAAGACTAACACACGTGTACTTTTTTTTTTTTTTTTTGCATGACACTCCTCATGCAATCATTCAGCGAAGAGAACAAAGCCTCTGCTTTTCGCTTGCTGTGCTCACGCTCCTCCTTTTCAAGCTCTTTGACATTTTTCATGGACAGTTCAACCCATTCATTAAAGTGACCACATTTGGAGTGGAAGTGACGTGCGTATCTTCTCACGACGACAGAGTGGCAAAACAAGTTGTGTGATGCGTTTTTGTATGATTTTGTCACTTGAACTCAGAATCTGGTCACTTGAACCATTTCATGCTTAACTGGGGAATCTTTTTCATGATTCTGAAGCCGCGTTTTCCGCCAAGCAGAGCAAGGCTGTCTGATAGCGTTTTTCACAAATTGAGAAGGAAGCTGAAGCAACAGGTGGCGCTGGACAAGTCATCAAATTCGAATTAGAATGTAATAGAATGTGATTTTCAAATTGCTCGGGATGAAAAAAAAACCCACTTCATTTTGGTGAATTGGGAGGCTTCTTTATAATACACACACATATACACATATATATATGGGGGGAGGGTGCAATTCGATTCTTTTTCAAAATGGTTCAGCTCTCCCTCTTGACACCTTCATCATGTGGTTTGCAAAGGAAGTGGGCGGAGTGAAACAAAGTGAAGTATGCCGAGTGATCGACCAAGAATTTTCCCCTCTTCGTGACAGTGCAAACAAAAAAAATCCAACACCTATACTTGCCCTGTGTCTGAACTGCTTGGTGAAAGTATGGCTTAACATTGCAGGGACTGCGCCAGAGAACAGTTACCATTGATGCTATGAAGCAACTGACCAAATCACCTCCACATTCCGGCTCTCTTTACTTGTCTCGGGGTTCCCTTCTGATTTAATCTGTGTTGATCTTTTTGATCTTGTTTCCTCTCTCTCTCCCCCGTTCTTCCCTTTTGTTTCTTTCCCTCCACCTCTTTCACGTCTGGTTCTCTCCGTCGTTGTCATCGCTTCCTCCCTTTCTGTCCCCTCTCTTTGCACTTGTGTCAAACAAAACCAGCAAATGCTCTGAGCTGGAGGAAGAGTTGAAAACTGTGACCAACAACCTGAAGTCACTGGAGGCCCAGGCTGACAAGGTAGGCAGCCCGAACGGGCCGACTGCATGCTGACAAATCCCCTGCCGCGCTCCTCGATGGGGAACCAGAAGAGCTTGGGAACCTGATGTTTGTCTCCTCTCAGTATGCTTTCTGTAGTCCTGTGCGACATTGGAAGACTTTATTAAAATAATTATCTGACAAACAAATGTTTATTAAAATTTTGAAATAAGAGATGCAAGTAAAAATTCTAGCTACATTTTTGCACTGACTCCAAATCTGCCCTTTTTCACAAGCATACCTGGTTTCCATGATAATAATAATAATAATAATAATAGGGAAATCCCGCCCGGATCAGTGGTTAGCGTGTTGACCTCACAGTGCAGAGGTCGTGGGTTCGATCCCGGCTCCGGCCTTCCTGTGTGGAGTTTGCATGTTCTCCCCGGGCCTGCATGGGTTTTCTCCAGGTATTCCGGTTTCCTCCCACATTTCAAAAACATCCATGGCAGGCTGATTGATCACACTAAATTGTCCCTAGGTGTGAGTGTGAACGCGGATGGTTGTGTGCCCTGCGATTGGCTGGCAACCGGTTCAGGGTGTCCCCCGCCTACTGCTCGAAGACAGATGGGATATGCTCCAGCACCCCCCACGACCCTTGTAAGGATAAAGTGGATCGGAAAATGGATGGAGGGATGGATGATCATAATAATTATAATAACAATCAATTTTTTAATCCGATTTATCCTCACAAGGGGCGCGGACGTGCTGGAGCCTATCCCAGCCGTCTTCGGGCAGTAGGCGGGGTCCACCCTGAACTGGTTGCCAGCCAATCGCAGTGCACACATAGACAAACACCCATTCACACTCACAGTCACACCTACGGACAATTTAGAATGTTCCATTAACCTGCCATGCATGTTTTTGGAAACTGGAGTACCTGGAGGAAACCCACGCAAGCACGCAGACAACATGCAAACTCCACACAGAAAGGCCGGAGTCGGAATCGAACCCTGCACCTCTGCACTGTGAGGCCGACGTGCTAAACAGTTGCCCATCATGCCGCCCAATAATAATAATAATTTATTTTGGAATATATTTTAGGGATGCACGAGTACCAATATCAGGTGTCGGTATCGGACTGATACAGGCCTTATTTGAAGGTATCAGTAACTTGTGGAGGCTGCTAATATAACAGCCACTGATACTTAAGGCAACAAAAAAATCTGACATCAAGTACTCCTCAGCAGTAGGTGTGTCAGGAAGAAAGGTCTTTGTTCACAATTTCTTACTCATTGTGTTAAATCAAATTTCATATCTCAATAGGACTACAGGTATCGGCACTCTGTATCGGTAATTACTCAGAGTCAATCAGTGTACTGGTTTTGCTCTGGAAAAAAAAAAGTGGAATCAAAGATCCGTGATATTGTGTATTTCGTAATATTTATGAATCAAGAATTCATGGTACGATCTGTATTGCGCAAGCTTTTACAGGTCAAACTTAAAAATAAAAATATCTAAAAAAAAAAAAAGAATAAACTGTGGTGTTAAGAATAAAATTCAAGACATTTTTAAAATCGGTGTCAAAAGTACGTGAAGGGACCTATCAAGCCATCTCTGATGAAAATTTGGTGTTGACCAGCGTTTTTGGAGAGCTTCACAGTTTGTGTGACTTATCTTATTTGTGAATTGCAGTACTCGCAGAAGGAGGACAAATACGAGGAGGAGATCAAGGTCCTCACCGACAAGCTGAAGGAGGCGAGTTTCACAGCGCATCAAGAACACGCGGCGCCGATGTCGTAGCGCGCTCACGTCCGTGTTTCTTTTGCACAGGCTGAGACCCGCGCTGAGTTCGCCGAGAGATCAGTAGCCAAGCTTGAGAAGACCATTGATGACCTGGAGGGTATGTTTGAATTTAACATCTCCACATTTGATTCATTTGAAATCCAGTCATGTTTTTTTTTTTTGTTTTGTTTGTTTCTTTGTTTCACTCTGAATATATTGCAATGGGTCGCTATGTAAGTAGGGCCTGATTTCTGCTGGTTTCACAATGGAGACAACAGCATAGCTGCATTCACAAGAACGTTCGAGAGATTACATTTTGTTTTGTTGTAACCATCATTTGGCTAAATGGTTTTGATTGGCGACAGGGAAATAATCACGAGTCATTTTTAGGGCTACAACGAACAATGAATCTGTCAAATATTTTGTCGGTGAATCGGATAAACAAAAGAATTTCCATCCCTTTTTACAAGCGCTGGACATGATTTCAAATTAACAGTGCACAAACACAAATTGATTATTGATTCAGTGACAGGTTGGTAACATGTCAGAAAATGGGTAAAAATGTTGTTCATTGTTTTCCAAAGTTAATGCCGATGTTTGCAAATGTCTTATTTTGATTCAACATAAAGACAATTAAGTCTACTTTCATGAAGGATGACAGACAACTGATATTGACTGTTGAGAGGCTGAATCCAAGCTTTTAAACGTCTCACAAACGAGTAATCGATTATCAAAATAATTTTGAATTCATTTGATAATCGATTAATTGTTGCACCTCTAGTAATCTAAAATATCTCTTTTACATCGCTACAAATGTCTCTTTTAGGTTTCTTGAAGTACACTTCACTGCTTTATTTGACAGGGTGAAAAAAAAAAAAACAACAACAAACACAGGAAAATAAAGTAGTCAGATGCAGCACTTCAACCTTCATTACATGGAAAAAGCTCAAGAAAACAAGAAAATGCGACTGAACATGCTCAGGGTGACAGTCGTTCCCACACCCAAACCCGCACCACAATACATATATAGCACATCACATTGAAGTCCTCAGTGAGTCTAATTACAGAAACCAAGCAGGAAAAAGACGTCTGATTGACAAAAAGTCACAAGTCAACATTTTCTGTGTGCATACCGCAGAGGACTTTGCACTCACTTGTGCTGCCCTTTCATTCCTGTCATTCTTTGGTGTAACTTTTGTTTTCCTCTTTCCTCCCTTTCTCTGTTGCCGTTTCTCCACTTTGAATGGTCTTCGCCCGGCCTTTTCTTGTCACCTTT